GGTGATCGGTAATATCGTTAGGGTGGCAGGCTAGATCGCATTATTGTACTATGGACTAATTCTATGTTCGTAACTAATTTTTTTCTAAGAGGGGCTAACCTGTGCCGAATATAATCCTTTATGGATTGATGACGGTGTTGCATAGGAAGTGTGATGTGACGCCTTCCTTTTGTATGTATAGACCTTTTTATTATATTTTTCTGGTATAATACAACACTATTGTCTAAATAGAAACTAAGAATAAGAAAGCAAATAGATTTCTTGATGAAAGCAGAACCTCGGCACGTGAAAGTAAAAAAAAGACAGGCCCAATCTAAAAGCGCTAGCGAAGCGAAAAATACAATTTGTGTCCTGTGCGACTCGGAATCAATTCTGCCGATGCAAATGAAATCTTACAGAGACGATCGGTGCGAGAGTTTCCGTAATAAACAAAATTTAATTCTATCTCGACCGAAGTCTACCCTAAGAGCCTGCGACATTCAACGCTTGTCATTTTCTTGCAGACAAAAAATTACACGAAATAGTCTAAACCTGCATATCTTAGAATGGGGTACCGCACGTAAATCTATAAAATTTGATATTGCAGACTAGGTAGTTTTTAGGGTGCACGTTTGCTCACTAGGATCGTTGTGAGCGTCCATCTATGGAGGAAAAGCTCAACTACACGCAATGTTGGTTGCATATGTCTTGTGAAGCCGAGTAGTTCTATAGTTTTTATCCCTGAGAAGAAAGTTGGTCGAATATAACAAGATCGCATCTGGATGTTTGTGGGTATTGGTCTGCATGTGTATAAAATCAGTGATATTTGCTGTGTGAGAAAATCATTACTGAATATGCTGCCAATGATGAAGTATATCTATTAGCTGTGCCCGCCGGCCTTTCTGAAGATAGGTCACGTTCAAAGTGATAAATTTCGATTATTTTATGTTTTTTGTATTATCAACAACTTTTGAGGAAAATTACAAGCAATCACCACTGCACCTTCGTTGTGTGTAATTACTGTTAACATGTATATGACTTGTATGTGTCCAATGAATATAATTTTTTCTTATCTCTCAATTTTGAAATCCAGCAAATTCTCTCTCTCAAGTAAGTGCATTTGAGACAATAATCGAATGAAATTACCATCAGCACATATTATTTGCACACAAATCCTCACTATGCATCTATGCATTGCCGGCTACCTCCAGTAATGACATCTCTGAAGCAGATTTTACATCACATCAGAACCAAGCATTGACAACTGAAGCCTCACGACATTTAGGCAACACGTACAACTACAAAACGAGTTTACAACGTGTCCATCACCTAGTAGTGCTAACTTAACATCTTGTAGAAAAACCTACATAATGTCAAAAAAACCCAATATAATGTGAAAAAAATCGATATGTCACTTTTTAAGATACGTAATACACGTGCAGGTCTGTTCGAGTCGTTCGCCTTCAACTGCTATTATTGTTGTCTTATCAAAGTTATAAATTATTGAAGGAAGTCTGCAGCAATGATAGAAAATAGACATTTAAATAAGATTCTGAGGACTCTAGACTCTAGATAACTAAATAACGTTTGCAAATAGCTAAAATTTTCAGGCATTTACAGGGTCTTATACGTGTACGAACTGTATGGTATTTTTCCAATTATATCTATATTGTATAATAATTAATATTTCTCTGTTCCACGTTACCGACAATCGCTGATATGATTGTCATGGTTTGCTGTAAATGATTTTCACTATGGATAGGTATAGAATAAAATGGAATGTAAGCTCCTATTTAAAAATATAGCGTTATTAAGTTATTAGTGACCTCAAAGTTGGGACTTTCCTTTACACAGGGTATCAAAGATAATGAATGGGGACCTCAATACCTGTGGGAGGTACAGTTTGGGTTAACTTAGAAAAAAGCTGCATTCTTTGGACCGTATTTACATGCCGTTAAGACATGCGAAAATTTTATGGTTTACTGAGGTATTAGGGAAAAACAAAAATTTGGCCAATTTGTTTTTATTTCTTTCTGACCTTATTTCAAGTAATATCAACAAACTAATTGAACTTTTGTGTCCGACGTTTCGTTTTTGCGAAACCATCATTAACTTAATTTTTTATGTGGTCCGAAAAAAAATACCTGATAACATCTTCTAAGAATTCAACGATGTGTCTCATGTTACATTTCTTTTCTAAGTTGTAAAGAAAAACGTGTTTTCTTTTTTTGTTTAAGTAGATGTAGCAAAAAAATGCATGATGTAAGCTTATGTGATTACTGAAAGATGCATATTACATATTGCATAATGGCAACATACTATGAAATAGAATAAGGAAAGCGGTGGCTAGGACACTTTACTGGAGGTTCCAATCCAGCGTCCGGGAAATCGCTGAGTAAGATACTCACGAACTTGTCTAGAGTTATCACAGGAGCACCTTCTTGTTAAAACCAACAGCTATGAACACGTGCCAAAGGTAAATTATCCAGGCAGTCTTCTAGATCTGCACGAATTGAAGGTACCGTTCTGCAATTAATGAGTTGCGGTAAATAAATAGACCCCATACAGGTATTTTGATCCCTAGAATTCCACACCACATATTAAACACAAAACGTTTTTGACGTCTCGATACTTTTTAACCAGCAACTTTCTTGAGCCTAGTAATAAGTGTGGCGGCGATTAAAGATACCATTATTAGTGAGCATACTATCTCTGAACAAAAATTAAAATATTCACACGTTCCGCCGATTCCGCCTCCCGAAAATATAGCAATATGCTCCTTTTTATTTTAAGAAACGGTAGTAATTGATCGTTTTGCAGTAGAACGGAGGCGAAGGCTCAGAAACGGTAAATCTATTGCAAAAATGGTAGATCTGAATTGCAGGCCCAGTCAACAAATTTTATACGTGGGCATTTTAAATAGTAAAAAGAGTTTGTAAAATACTTGGGCCTCGGGGATTACCTGACGGTTGAGCTTTTGTAAATATGTTCTTTGTGGCCTATCGGACAGTTTTTGTATGCCAACAACCTCAGCAACGGAGCGCTTTTTTACAGACAATTCTTAAATTTGAGGTGTCGGACAGAAGGCATCTTCCCATAAGTATATCCAACAATAGTAGTTCTGGATTCACACATTTTTCTTGATCTATTTTTTAAAATCCCAACTGTGAACTAATTGACCTTACGACGTCATACCTGCTCCAAGTGATGACCTCATAAGATTAATTACCTCACAGTTGGGGTTTTGAAGAATATGAGTAGTTCAAGAAAAATGTCGAAATAAGAATATTTCACTAGACGCTCCTGCAGAAACATTGACATTTTTCGACCCATGTTACTCTCTATACTCTCTACATTCGGAGATTTCCTCTTCTTCGATTCAGGCTTATCAGCCAGTAACTCGGAATTCAATGTTTTGTATCTGAAATATTTCAAATACATCATACGTAGATATCAAACGTATACGACCAAAAGCGGATTTATAAACTCACACTCCCAGTTCGTTGTTAATGGAACATATGGATAAGAAAATAAAATGGCTTCAAATAATAAATTTGAATTTTGGAAACGCAATCGAAAACAATACCAAATACTTATAAACGTATTTTTATAAATCTCATTCAATATGCATTTTTAGGTGGTAGATGTATCTAGTAACGTCGACTATTCGACTAGCATTATCTAATTTTACGTACCAGTTTTTCAAGTGGACTACAATAACAAGTCGCGTTATGCATGATTTTTTGCAACAACGCATCAACCTGCGCAACAACGCATAATTGAATCGCACGCATCATCCCCTTAATACCGCTGTCTGACCGCCAATCTAAGGCTACGTTGCACGATGATAGTCCGGTTAAATAGCCGAAACTGAGACAAAAGTGATAACATAGCCACAAAGTTATGTCCGCTGGCGTAATGGCGTTATAAAGGATTGCGAATATTGTTGTATGAATTTGGTTGTCCGGAAACCAGCCGTTTTCTGTAAAACAGCGAAAAACCCAAAAAAATTTCTAATTTTTGTACCATCAAAAAAGGTGTAGTTTTCGCGCTACAGCTTGCTGATGGCTTGTGGGCGAGGACGTGCGTACACATATCACCAGCCGCCGCCCGTTGAAGGGGACGATCCTCTTTTATTTCGACGTCCTCAGTGTCTCACTCTCGGTGATAGGCCAGTCGATTTTGAATAATAAGCTCGTTTGTAGTTGTGGCGTTCACCGACTTATGCATATTAATGAATTTTTGAAATTTATGCGTTTAAGAGTACAAGATGCAGTAATTTCTCTTCAGCCGCTTACCGATTGACTGGATAAGTGAGGTATAATATTTTCATTTAGAATTGGAATAACGATAAAAAAATCTACAGCTGCAAATAGGTGTGAACGTGTATATAAATGAGTGGCAATGATAAGAATACATTACAGGATGTAGAAGCCCAATGAGTCATCAAAAGACTCGTTTTCGAAGCTCTACGTTATTTTCATAATTATCCTCACAAATCAGTTTGATCACCGGTAGTTGAAAATCTACGACCATGATAAGAGATTTAGCAGTTCTTAAGCCGCGTCTATACGTTGGACCGACCTACGCCAACGCAAATATGTAAAGAATAGACAAAGGCCGATCGTGATGAGCATTTGACGATGTCTTCTTTGCACACTTGCTGAGGAAACCAATAATAATGTTGATTGGTCTAGTCCTAGTCTCAATGTATCGGTGAACGTTAGCTTGACATGTAGACACGGCAGTATGCTCTGCTGTGCAACTTATCTGCATAGCACTTCACACCTTTTTGTGGGGTTCAGGGATTTTTTACGTTTCCAATTACATATTGATAATGGAACGACTATAAGTATGAGCATGTATATTTTAGAGTTGAAATTAAAGATTATTCGCTTATATTTCAATCGAGATAAGAAATTATGTACAAACCATTCATTGGAAGTTGCATCAATTTTTTATATTCTCTATTTTGAGAGAGTATAACAAATTATATTTGTGTTCAAATATGTTTGTATTACATAAGGTCTCATCATCTTCTGTTAAGTCATCATTATCGGGTTCTACGGTAGTTTGTCCACCGTCCTCCTCACATGCATCTGAAGTCGTCGGAGTTTCGCTGTCACAGTGTTCTGTAGCAGTCCATTTTTTTGAGTTGTTGCACGATTTTCCGCGGTATACTTTGCAAGCACCTTAGACCGGCTTTTCGGCAGTTGCATCGCTTCGATTTGCAGGGCCCTTGGCATCCACAGGAAACCTGAAAGAAGGTTATTATAAGAATTATTATAATCTAAATATCAGTTGTCTTGTAAGGGAAATCAATGACAGGCTTTTTATAGTACTCAGTAGATCAGTTTAAAAATTTGTTATTTTGACTTGAAACTGGATCTCACATTTTTCAAAAATTATTTCGATCAGACAGTACATGAGATCAAAAGTATAGTAAAAAATTAGTTGTAGCAAGTTGTATTTAGTGCTTCAAATTAGGTACATTTCACACATACCTCTTGTAACAGTCCTTTTGGTGCGGGATCTGCTTCAGACATGATCGGAATGAGAATATTACTCTTGTCCATCCTCACAAGCAGGGATCCAATCTGTGTTGAAGCCACATCTGGATTTGATAGTAGACTCGTTTACACTGCTGAAGCAAGGCAGGAGATGTTGGTGGGAGACATTCTAGGGGCGTTTCCTTTTTTGCCTTTGCTAACAAATTGTATCTGAAAGTCCCGAGAGAAGAAGACTGTTCTTTGTCTTTGTATAGTGCAAGAGTAATAGTCTCTGCACATTGCAGCAATTCGTCTTCCAAGCAGTCCGGCTTGTAAAACTTCAGCGCCAGCATTATAATGCTGTCGTTCTGCAGCACCAAGTTCATCAGTTTCATCTTCGCTTTCCCAAAAAAGCAGCTGGTAGTGTCGCAGCCCGAAAACGCATGAGCGAAAAGTAGTTATGGTTGCAAATGTTTGTGATCCCGTGCATCTTACAAGCTTTGCCCTCCTGGCCCATCTTGTAATAGTACATGCTCTCTGAGGCTGGAGTGAGTCCAATAAGTAATATTAAGAGATTAACATGCGAGCCGAGGACTATAACTCGTGATTTCCTGTGACGAAACAGTTCGTTATGAGTCTTCAGACCTGTTCTCACAATCTCAACATCCGCATCCTCTTTCGCATGGATCACTGTAAAACTGAATCCCTCATCTGTTGCAAGAGTTTGACCAAGATGACAAACAAATTGAGCCTTGTTTTTCACGTTTGACAAACATTTCCTTTGGTTCAATGAGAGGAGATTGTCTGGTTCAATTTCAACGTCCACGCCACAATTTCTTTGTTATCTACGGTCTGGCTCGTATGATTTGACAGCTATATGTTCATATTCATATCCGCCGAAAACAATAATGACGCTCCGACCAAACCGCTTAACAAGAAAGTTCGTGGACATATCAAAGATTGCACGGTATGTCTTACTATGAGGCCAAACGAGGCTGTGAAGCAACCATCCTCCGTCTATAACAAACAGAGAATCTTAAAAAAATGCTTACGAGGATAGGGTAGTAGTGAACATTTTATATATGTGTGTGCCTTGTTTCAAAGTATTGGATATTTCTCTATTCAAACAAGTAACATCATCCATAGAAACACAAAACAAGTAAATGCTTATTGACAATGTATCCATATCAGACTTCTATCAAGAAACCAAGTGATTCAATGATTTTGTGTTGCAATTCATTATTATAGATTGATATTATAATATAAAATAGATTTTTTGACATGTCTGAAAATGACACTTATAAGTAAATATAACTAAATTTTAAACCATTTGTAATACTACAGAAAATGTTGAAAAATGCCCCCCCCCCCCATGATGTTGAACATACAATCGAAGTTTGTCCTTTCCTAATGTGTAATAAAAAGTAGGGCATTCCTTCTAAGAAAACTCAACTGTGATACGTGGGTTAAAATTGGGACACGCTGTATAAATGTGAATATTTTGCTAATATATCTCTCGATACTATATATAATGATCCATAAGCAATTTTCTTCACAAAACTTTTTGTTTAGGAGTAATACCACATCCTCGAACGGTTGGGACACTCTGTATATAGTAGTATACCTAACAACGTTGATCTGAAAATACCACTAAATTCAGAAAACTTACCCTAAGAACACAGGCTTAAATGCAAATGATCTGAACAGGCAGTCACTCCATTCTATAAAGACCTATTTACTGAAATCTATACAATAATTGCTCTTGGGGTATCAGAGAATAAGCAAAATTCAATTCTATCTCGACCGATGTCTAGTTGAGCGACAAGGAGGAACAAAAGAGCAAAAACGGGTATAAAATCAATGCTTTATTTCTAGTTGGAAGTTGAAAAGTAGGTTATAAGTAGCCCTAGGGTAATAAATCACGCCGTTCGCCGTTTGCCGTGAAACTTCAAAATTGATTTTCAGCAGAGAAGAACAGAATATTGAGCTGATGTGAAAGACGCTTACGATAGATTTTGAAAAATAACCGTTCAGGTCATATTAATTTCTACTACTAGATGTAGGGGTTACTTCTTATGTAATCGCAAGATTTTCAAGTCTAAGGGCCAATTTCACCAATAACAGTCCGTTATTCTTCACCTATAGGGTAACAGACCGTCAAATACAACGATGAGCTTCAAGTTCCAATCAACAAATTTTAGAAACCAATAGCTATGAAACGTTGAAAACAAAATACTGTCAAAGTATGAGATGACAGCTTGTCATTGAAACATCACCAGCTTTTTGAATATAAAGAAATTACATATAATTCAGTCAAAATTTAAAGAAATGTTGGATTTTTGAATAAAATTCATGTTTTAATTACTATTGTTGATTTTTTATTCATGTTTATATTATTTTCTTCAATTGATATGCGATACTGGGTGTTTTTTCCTATAAACCTCTTGCAGATAGCCATTAAGCACTTACTTAAAAGTGAGCAAAATCGGAAATCGTGCAACAACGCTATCTTAACATAGCATTTCCCATTCATAAATAAGTAGTGTAAACTCCTGATAAAATATCGCCGACGCAGATTCGGATAATTAAACAGTTAATAGTGACGAATAGTGATGCATATTGAAAAAAACAGGTAAATTGTGGGAAATATCATTGGAATTAACCACAAAAAGATGTAAACACACAGTTCGATTGACTTAGAACGTTGCCAGTTGTTTCGAAAATTACCTGAAAACATCGAAAAATAAAGATGAATACCAGACAACAGTCTAAATTGAAAAAACCTACCTCTGTGAAAATGAATAAAGCTAATAATAGCTATATTCACCTACAAGCTGATGATTTTGAAGACAAAACTGTTACGCAGGAAGAAATACTATCAGATGTTCGAAACAAACTAGCCAGTGAACAATCCAAGAATAATGAGCTGAGTGAAATCATTGTAAAATTAAAAGAAAAAACAGGAAAACTATCTAATGAGCTTTTGAATAAAGAAAAAACCATTAACCATTTAAAAGATTTGATTGAAAAGTTAAAATCTGAGCCAAAGATATTATCGGAGTGTGGAATGCAAACTGACACTGTGGACCAGAAACAAGCGCACACGCAAACACCTGAACCACCACCATATAGGAAACCAGCGTGCGGGAACAAACCAACTGATGGAAGCTCATCATATACTAACAGTCTTATTCAATGTTCAATCGACTTAACCGATACCAGTGGTCTGGAGAGTGAAGTTGAGTGTCCTACTGACGAGGTGTTGGAGCCTTGTACCGAAGAACCGGCTGCCCTGCCATCACCGGCAGCAACAAATAAAAACAACCCAAACGACCGTAGGAAGATACTTGTTTTTGGTGACGAGTATGCCAGGAACTTCAGAAAAGTTCTAGAACTGTACATTGACAAATCCAGGTTTACCATTGAGTCCTATGTAAAGCCAAATATCGAGTTTGTAATGGCGACCAAGGATATATTCACCAAAACAATACCTTATGGAAAAGATGACTTTGTAATTTTCATGATTAAGACTCAAAATATCAATAGTTCCTATTGTTTAAACAAGGGTTTATGCAACCTTCTACCACTTGGCCGCACTACCAACTTAATATTTCTGTACGAATTAAGTTCACACGCTGATAATAACCTTATAAATAGAATAAATTCCAAAGTTACCACTTATAGGAAATTTAACAGAAATACGTCAATATCGCTCACCTATGACAATCGCATGAAAGGTTCAAAACAGGGCATTGCAGGATATGTTCATGGTATCCTACTGAGCAACCCATATAAAAATAATATCACGTTGAAGACAATTAATACTGAATCAGTACCATGTCATAAGCGGTTTTTTCTTGAATGACAAAGATCATAGCTTCCTAAATGTTAGCGTTTCAAATAATGTATTGTATACAAATTTAGATAGTAATAAGATAACACGAGCTAATAATAAATGCATGGTAAATTTGTTACATCTTAATATACAGAGCCTACGACAAAAGGTTAACGATATAGCGTTATTAGGTCTTGAACACAGTTATGATGTAATTTGCTTAAATGAACACTGGTACTTAAATGACGAAATTAACTACGTTAACATAAACGGTTATAAATCCATTTCCAATTTTAGCAGAGTGAAAAAAATTCATGGTGGTGTTGTCATATATGTAAAAACGGACTCAAATGCTTCACCTTTACGCACTTCATGTCTGATAGAGGCCGAAGAATTGACGCTTGAGGTTGCAGGCATATATTTTGATAAACTTCAGATTCTCACTATATACAGATCTCCTGCAGGTGACTTCAATAGATTTATAAATAAGCTATGTATTACATTAGACCAGCTTGACTATGAGAAGCATGTAGTGGTAACTGGAGACTTTAATGTTAAATTTGGTACCAATGATGAGCGGGCAAACCAAGTTATTGATGTGTTTAGCTGTTATGGAATGCAATATATGATCAGAGACAGTACAAGAGGGTCGCATTGCTTGGATAACATTTTCACGAACATCCAAGGCAGCTGTTTTCTCAAAACGAATATCTTTGATACTTACTTGTCGGATCACCTGGGGATCGAGTTTTGTTGTTTTCAACCTGGTAAAAAAAACAGCTTCAAAAGGGTAAGTTATCGGCCAATTACTGATACTGGTCTTTTTCTACTTTACAGCAGTTTGGAAAGTACTGGCTGGCAGTTTGTAAGTGATGCAAATCTAAACGTGGAGTTGAAGTTTGAGCTGTTCATACGTGTTGTGACCGATGCAGTGGGTAAATGTCTACCAGAGAAAACACGCGTTTTCCAAAATAAACAGAAACAAGTCCAATGGTTTGACAATGAGTTACGTGGCATGCGCGATCACTTAACTTTCTTGATAGAATTACACAAAATCGATTCATCAACTGTGACTAAATCCGAAATAAATTGCCTGAAATCCAAGTACAGAGCTGAAATAGTAAAACGTAAGCAAGATGCACACGATGTGTATATAAACTCATCGAATAATAAACAGCAAGCGATGTGGAGTATTATAAAAGACAATGCAGCTCCTGTCGATAAAAAAATTACCACAACACTAAACGCTAAC